GCAAGCTGCAGCCTCCAGCGCCTCCCAGGCCACGTATTCAGAAAAGCAAGCTGCGGCAATTCTTCGTGCATTGTGCCCAGGCCGAGAATTTCTCCAGGGGCATGGGCTGCATGATGGCTTATGCGTTCCTGCTCCGAGTACCGTCCGAACTCTTGGGGCAATTGAAGCTTTGCCTTCTGCAAGTGGATGGGGCCACAGTGCGCTTCGGCCCCATCAGGCGTAAAGAGGAGCTGCGCGCGCAGTCCACGCTCGAAGCCAAATGTATTTGCCAAAATGGCCCCGTGCATTGCGTGCACATGTGGGCGTCTTGGCTGCTTGCGGGCCGCGGCGACCCGGACGCGCTCGTATACCCGCCGGGGTACTACAGCAAATTTCTGGCCGGTCTTCGCGACGACCTCGTCGCCGTCGGCACGCCGGCGGCAAAAGCATTTGGGATCGCTTCCCATGCTTTCCGCCATGGGGCCGCGTTGGACATTCATGACTCTGACGGGTTCGCCGCGGCCTGTGCCAGAGGAGAATGGCGGAGCAGAGCCGTCACTGCTTACATACCGCCTACCACGATTGATTCCCGGGCCCTCGCGGAGGCTTTGTGCATGGAGTCAGACGGAGAGTGATCCCGATTTGATATTTCCCGATCGTTTTCCATTGGTCTCCATTGGGGGCGCGGTCCTATCGGAAGCGCTCCAATGGAAAACGACAGGAGTGGGAGGCAGGGGACCAACTTCCAGTGTCTCCCAGACTCTTCAGTTGGCTCCCTCCTCTCCTCCGCCTGCAGCTATGGCTCGCGCGCAGGAGCAAGCCGCGACCCGCCCGCGTCCACCCTTGGGGGCGCGGTCCTATCGGAAGCGCTCCAATGGAAAACGCCACGAGTGGGAGTTAGGGGACCAGTCGAGAGGAGGAATGGCAGCTGCAGCAGGGACGCTGGCAGCTACGGTCAGGAGCGTTTTGCATAGCGTGTTGCAGCACCGGCCCCAGGGATACGCCGTGCCCTGCGAGCTGATAGCGCGTCGCCCCGCTTCGCGGGCCGGGAGGCTGAGCGCAGCTAAGGACGCTGACGCCTGGAAACGGGGACGTGGACAGCGTGTCGCGCCGACGCGTTGTGGGCCAGAACTGGCGGAGCGACACGCTACAATTTTCCGATCGTGACGGCCGAGAGAAACTTGCACGAAGTCCTCAGACCCTTCGGCACGTCAGCTGGATCTTCGGCAGTCTCCAGCGGCACCCAGAGCCAAAACAAACTCCTGACCGAAGTGGCACGCGAGAGCGACCCTGGTAAGAGTGACCGTTGGCCCGCGGCGTGCCGATCCCTGCGTGCGGTGCGGCAGCAGCGGCCTGCGTCCCGGGACGTGCTCGCTGAGGGCGCTAAACAACCTCTGCCCCTCGACTCGCGCTGGAGCGTCCAAGGTTTGCTCCAGATCCGCCCCGAGATATCTGGATGCACCTCGATGTTGGGAGGCAACTTCTAGGAGGTCTTCGTCAAAACGATTCAGGGCGATCAAGCCCGATTAAACAGACAAGACGTAAGCCAGATGAGGCCAGATTAAGCCCAACATGCAGGCCCGAGAAGATGGGAGCAAGCCAGAACAAACGGGATTAAGCTGGACTACGCGGGATTCGACCAGATCAGGCCAGATTCGGACGAGGGATGTACATGTACGAGCGCCGATTCTGTATGTAAATCCCAAGGCGTTGCAATCCAATCGATGTGTGCGGGTTTACCTGGATCTGCCTCGACTTATCTATCTGGCTTGATCCCCGCGAACCGATGGGGAAGGAATGCCGTCAAGCCCTCGGGGGCTGCCCTTTGCCCCCGCGCGCCCCTCGAAAAGAGATGCGCACCAAAGAGCATCTCCTGTCGACAAGCTCCATGGCACCGTACACGGTTTGTTTACATAGTGAACCGAGGCACTGGCGCTTTGATGGTGTAAGCGCTGCGCGCGTTGTTTTCCGTGTTTCTGATTTGTTTCTAAGACACAAAACTTCTTGGCGAAAAGCAAAAAGAAACCACACAACTGCAGCCCACCGAACCAGAAAATAAGTTCGACCTTGCAAACGGGAAAAACTGACCCTAGCACGTACAGAAGGCGTCGATCTCGGAAACGAGAACAAACACGCCCTCATATTTCTACCTGATCTAAAGACACTGGCGCGCACCCTGACAGAGGCAGCAAAGGGTCAGAATATTCTCCACTCTTCCTTCTCTCCCGCTGGATCTGGCAAGGTCCTGGTAACCAAAATCCTGGCTCACTGGGCCCTGAGCCCAGACATCCGTTGTCTTGGTCTTGACTTGTTCAACGAGGAGCACCAGGAGTCACGACCCGTTCCCCAGGACCGGATTTCCATCCCGAGCCGTTTTGTGACGGTCCCGGGGCCCAGCAAGAGCCTCTGAAGGCCGAAAAAAACCGAAAGCCTTCCGTCGCGAGTTTGACATGACGAGGGCACGTCTGGGCCAGTCTCACGGTGCAGCAGCGAGGGCTGCCAGGCACTGACCCTGAGACCCGACGTTCCGAAGGAAAAAAGCGCATCGCAGAACTCACGACGGGAGCCCTGGATCTCGTATTATTATGCGGCATTTCTCAAGGCGGGTCGATCCGTGATGGTCCTGGGGCCCGGAGCTGGGCAAGAACGCTCGGTGTGAACAACATGCAAAGCGTCTGCTGGGCATGGATTGAACGCATGCGGACATACCAATACGATGTGCCACTCTTGGAGACGCACGCCCGACCCGGGCACACGGTACAAAACGTGTGGCCAGAACGCGCCCGCCACGGAGCTCACACTAGCAGATGTCCGAGCATGCGCACCGCCCGGGCGTGGCCGACGCGCATGCCCGGGTGGGGCCCACCAGAGCCCGGCGGGCCCGAGCCTTGCGCTCGCTCAGCGCGGCCGGCGGCGCGCCGAGCCCGCCGCGCGCCCCTGGGGGGGGGGAGCGAAGCAGGCTCTTCGGGCTGCGGGGGTGCGCCGCTGCCCCGGCCCCTGCCGGGCCCCGCGCCCTGCGCCCCGCGGCGCGCCAGGACGAGGACTAAATCGGGTGAGGATACATCGGGAATCTCTGAGAACTGGCGGCTCTGGAGGATGTCTCGGGCGCCGCGGCCTTCGCGGAGCGTTAAGGAACGCTCTGAGAGTGTTCCGGAACGCTCGGAAACGGATTCAAACTCATCCTAGCCCCGTCCGATCCTCTTCTCCTTCCTCTCTTCGGGTCTCAGGATCTGAGGAAGCCTCAACCCAAACATGCTCCCGTAGTGACAAGAAACCACGGGGTGGGAAACCGGCCCTGGGCAAAGGGTCGGAACTTCCGGGGACCTCCGAATGAAAACACAACAGATCGCATGTCCGAGCCCGGGCCGCATGATCTCAGGAGGCTTCAAGCGAGGGCCACATATTGAAAACGCATCAGCCTCCATCCGTGTGCCTGTTGCAAAACGTTTGCGACGAATGCGCGCGACGCTGAGGCAAGTGTCACATCTTGAAAACGACCGGCCCTCCATACGTATAACTGTTGGAGCTTTGTGCCTTCAGGACAGCAAGCTGTAGAGAAGCGTCAAACGAAGCTCCCTGGCAAGTTGCGACAGGGGGGGGCCATGTCATGAGGAAGAAGGATGAAGGAGGAGGAGGATGAGGAGGCGGAGGAGGACCTCGACCACCTCACGTCAAGAACAAGGCCCGACGGAAGAGGAGTACACTGGGCCCAAAGGGGTTCTCCTGGCAGTATCTACCCCTGTCGCCAGATCCTGCGCTTCCCGCCCCTCTTTCCCATCCTGCTCCTGCGCCTGCTGCTCCTCCTCCGCGCCGCACTCGCTGGGCCATCACGCATTCGAGCACGCACAACTACGACGAGACACAAAGTCTACCCCACCTCCAGGCCAGCTCTGAGAGCCTTTCTCGAAGTGGGTGCCTACCTGAGCCTTCTATGGGGAAACCAAAAACTGAATTTCGGGACGAATCCAGCCGTGGCGAAAAGGGCCTCCCAGGAGGCCCCAAAAGGCCAACGAAGAAACAGTACCGGTATCGGTAACTCTTACTATCTTTCTGATGATAGCATGAGGAGGGGGAGGAGGAGGAGGAGGAGGAGGAGGAGGAGGAGGAGGAGGAGGAGGAGGAGGGGGAGGGCAGCCGACGGATCGCCCTGCCTCGCGGCTGACGCAGAGACGCGGCGCCCGCGCCCAGCGCGGCGACCAGCGTCAGCACGAGGACCACCCCGGCGAGCACAACAGCGGGCGCGCGGCCTGGCCCGGCCGCGCCAGGCAGCCGTGGCCCGGCCCGGGTGGCCTCGGTCTCGGCCAGGCTGCGCGGCCAGCGGAAGGCCTCCCGGGGGCAAGAAAACATCCCAACAAAGCACCGTACTAGCAGCAAGAGGTTGTAGCCGGGACAGGGTTGAGAGCACAGCCATGTGAACCTTGACGTGCATTTGTTTATCAGGGATCGTCGGCATCTGGGGGGGGGGCGTCGTTGGGCCACTCGAAGGCTGCGGATTGAAACACTGGCATCGGCGGATGTCAGGGAGGAAAGCACTCGTGGTCTCAGCGCTCCTCCTGACGGGGAGTCGACTAACGGGTACTCTGGCCAGCAACCCGGCGAACCCAACACTTCCTGATGCGGGATAACGCTGCAAAGCCTGAAAGAGGTCCTAAAGTGTCAACTTTCGACGGGTTTCCGAGGTACCCGTTAGCGTTGCGCGGTGCCGCTGATTCTCAGCGTCCCAGCCCTGGTGAGAACCTTGGGCCATGCGCGGGCTCGAGTTAGCCGTAGGTGCTCTCGGTCAGTGGAGGGGCGGGGTAGGTGGGTGGGCGGGAAGTGCGTGGGCGGTGTGGGTGGGGGGGGAGGCTTGCGGGGAGACGGGGGGGGGGGGGCGCAGCGCCAGCGGAGGGCCTCCTCGGGAGGAGGAAGAGGAGAAGCAGGAGGAAGATGAGGAGGAGGAGGAGGCACAAAGGGGACCGTACCACCTGCCGCGGCGCCGGCCATAAAGGCTCCGCAGGTCTCATCGGAGAAGATGGATGAGGAGGAGGAGGACGAGGAGGAGAAGGAGGAGGAGGAGTGGAAGGAGGGGGGGAGCAGGAGGGGGAGTAGAGGGGCAGCGCCCTCCAGAGGAGAAGGGGGAAGCAGGAGAAAGGGGACAAGGAGGACAGCGTCCATGGAGGAAAATCTTCGTGCGGAGAAAGAGGAGATGTAGCAGGTCCGTTGCCATTTGGGCTGAAGCCATTTTGGCTCAAAGGCCATCGGGGACCCGAACCGCGCCCGCTCCCCGCGGGAGGGGCGATCGCCGGGCCGGCCCTAGGCGCGCATCCCCAGCACACGCGCCGCGATGGAAGCCTATGAGATGGCGCGGGCTCGGCAAGGCGAGCCGAGCCACCGTGTCTCGCGCAGCTGCAGTTCACAAAGATCAGCCACTGGTCCCGAGACCTGCGCCACGCCAGAAAAGGCGCGCCAGACGGCGGCGCAGCACAGGGTCATGGACCAGCTGCGAGTTCAGAAGCGACACATAGTAGAGCTCGAAGTCAAACTCCGTAACGGCACGATTGGTGTTATAGTCAGGAATGGTGGCAGAATCAGGCAGAACAAGCAGTGCTGGCAGCCATTGCGCCGGCCGGCAGCGGCAGCAGCGCAGGTAGGCTACTTCAGGACGCTTGGGAGAAAGAGGCTTGGGATAGAGAGGCCTGGGACAAAGAACAGTGCTCACAACAGGGCAGCGGAAGTTTGGGCACAGTGCGAGAAAGCTGGCAGTGGCAGCATCGATGCAATGCGAGAAAGGTGGCAGTGGACAGCCCGCACCGTGCGAGAAGGGGCGGCAGTGGCTGTGCGAGAAGGGACGGCAGTGGCAGCCCAGACATCCAGCGAGAAGGGCGGCAGTAGCATCCGGTGCAACGTGAGAGAAGAAGCGACTGTGGCAAGTAGTGGTAGCTGTAGCAGGCAGGTACTGGCAGCTACCGACTGCGAGCCCGGCGTCAGCATCTACGAGGGTGGCAACACGACATACGAGCCTGACACCATCAGCTACCAGGGTGGTGACGCGCAACACGAGACCGGCGCCATCAGCTACGAGGGTGGCGCAGAAGCACGAGCCCGATACCATCAGCTACTAGAGTGACGCAGCGAAGCACGAGCCCGACGCCATCCGCTACGAGGGCGTTTCGCTGATCACGAATCCAATGCCATCAGCTACGACGGTGGTGGCTGCCATACACGAACCCGACATCATCAGCTACAGTGTTGGGGCCGGTTCCCTCATGCGAGAGGGCCCAGCGGTGGTGCGAGAAAGGCTGACAGTGGTGCGTGGAAGGCAGGCAGTGGTGCGAGCGGGCACTGCTGCGAGAAGGGCCGATAGCGGCACGTGATGGGCCGGCAGTGGTGCAAGAAAAGGCGGCAGTGGTGCGTGACGGACCGGCAGTGTTGCGAGAAGATCCAGCAGTGGTGCGAGATGTGCCGGCAGGTGGGGCAGCGGCGGCAGAGGTTTGTTACAAGATGCCATCAGCTACAGCGTGGCACGCGGAACGCCGTGTCCGTTCCGTTTTCGGTGTCCTTGCCGTCATGTACACTGCCCGCTATGTATATATATGTATATATACTTGGTCGTCTAGGCTACGTTGGCATCATGAGGAGCAGAGAGAAGCCGAGAAGGAGAAGGAGGCGTAGAAGGTGCATCAGCTGGAGGAGGGCCACTACCTGGGCATCGTGCACCGAGCTGTCGATACTGACGACGCCGACGCCTTGACCCGCTAGCTTCAGCTCGACCACCCCGCTCGACTAGGACGGGGACACAGGGACTGGTACGCAAATTGCGCCTGCGAGCACACAGCGCGAGCCCAGAAGAAGGACCTCTTCACGCTGCTGGCCCAGGACTTCAGGGCTCAGCGCGAGAAGGATGTGGAAAAGGAAGCTGAGGAGGATGAGGAGGAGTCTGACAGCGGCGCGGTGAGGGGACAAGTACACATTGAACACGCGCAGCGGCAAACCAGGCTGGCCGCGGTGCGGACAGGGAGTGCGGGCAATGACAGCAGTGGCAGCAGACGGGGCGAGGCGTGGACGAGCCGACGTCATCAGCCACAAACCAAGTCTGCGTAGGAATATTGTCTTAAGTACGACGTCGACTGGCGCGACCTGTACGACCACATGAAGCAGGCGGGCAGCGTGGACTTCTGCAGAATGATCACAAAGGACGCGACCGTCTACGGCAGATCGTTCGAATACGGACAGGTACGCTTCTCCACAGCAAGGGAGGCTAAGAAGGCCATTGCCACCCTGGACGAGACGGAGCTCAAGAATCGGAGGATTCGGCTTCAGACGTGGTCTGGCGCAAAGGGACATCATCTACCACGTGCGTAGTAAAACTGTGGTTGTGTGGTGTGACGGCAGGTGGGGCGGGAGGGAGGGAGCGGAACGCGACGGCCTGACTGGGGGCCTCGAGCGCCCGGGCGCGGGCCGGCTGTGTAGCGGAGTCCCAATGGACGTGCAAGAAAAAAGAAGTAGCAGGAGGATGAGGACGACAACGACGAGGGTGAGGGGGGAAGGCAGGAGAAGCTGGAGCAGGAGGAGGGGAGGCATTATGCTAGAGGAGGAGTTGGAGGGAAGATGCAGGAGGAGGAGGAGGAGGGAAGATGCAAGAGGAGGAGGAGGGAAGATGCAGAGAGGAGGCCGAGGGCCGACGAGGGGAGAAGTCGTGGCGACGGCGGCCGCAACAATCCCGCCGCACGGGCCGCAGCTTCGCACACACCCTGGCGGGCCCCGAGAGCGCCGGCCGCAGCCTGCCGGGCCTCCGCGGCGTCCTCCACGCTTGCGTCTGGCGCCTGCTCGAAGGGAGGAGCCGCCCACCCCCCTGCCCGCTGTTCCTCCTCCTCCTCCTGCTGCTCCTGCTCCTCCTCCTCCTCCTCCTCCTCCTCCTCCTCCTCCTCCTCCTCCTCCTCCCTCCTCCTCCTCCTCCTCCTCCTCCTCCTCCTCCCTCCCCTCCTCTCCTCCTCCTCCTCCTCCTCCTCCTCCCCCTCCTCCTCCTCTCCCCCTCTCCTCCTCGACCTGCGCCTCTTCCAGCTCCTGCCGCTTCCTCCTCCTCTTCTCCTCCTCCTCCTCCTCCTCCTCTTTCTGCTCCTCCTCCTCCTCCTCTCTCCTTCCTCCTCCTCCTCCTCCTCCTCATCCTCGTCCGCCTCCTCCTCCTCCTCTCCCTCCTCCCCTCCTCCCTGCTCCTCCTCCTGCCTCCTCCTCCTCCTCCTCCTCCTCCTCCTCCTCCTCCTCTCCTCCCTCCTCCTCCTCCCTCCTCCTCCTCCTCCTCTCCTCCTCCTCCTCCTCCTCCTCCTCCTCCTCCTCCTCCTCCTCCTCCTCCTCCTCCTCGTCCTCCTCCTCGTCCTCCTCCTCCTCCTCCTCTTCTCCTCCTCCCTGTCCTCCTCCTCCTCCTCCTCCTCCTCCTCCTCCTCCTCCTCCTCCTCATCGTCGTCGTCGTCGTCGTCATCGTCATCATCCTCCCGCCCTCCCTAAAATGGCCCAGGGCACCCGAGTGGGTCCCCACCCCCGTCATCAAGGGGGACCCTCGGGCGTTGGGGTTATGGTCCCGGGTCGCTAGCCACAAAAAACGACAACGCCACCTACTGGACACAACTCTTGAAGAACTGGTCCCGTGGCTTTCCGCCGCTGGGAGTAATGTCTAAATAAATCGCAGAATTATGCAAAGAGAAAGGCAGAGGAAAGGGGGGCGAGGAAGACGGCGGAGGCGAAGCGCAAGGCGCGCGCGGCAGCAAGTGTGGCCCAGGAGGGGCAGAAGAAGAAAGGAGAGGGGCGGCCGGGGGCGAGGGCGGTCGGGTCGGTGGTGTCTCCTCTGCCTTTTCCTCCCCCCTCCTCCTCCTCCCTCCCTCCTCTGCCGTCTCCTCCTCCATCCATTTTCCCTGATGAATAACTCCTCCCTGTCGCACCCCGAAGCGTGTCGGTAGGACGGGATGGGCGTTTCGCCAGAGACTTCAGCACGCTTTATAATCCTTAAGGGCGGGTCGTTTTCAACATGTGGCTCTCGCTTTAGCACCCCGCGCAGCGCATTCGTGTCAGGAGTTCGCAAGAGCGTCGATGGGGGGTGGGCCGGTTTCGAAATGGGTTTGTCGCTTTTGCGAAGCGACCATTCGTTTTCAATGTGTGTAGGAACTTCATGGATGGAGGTCGGGCCGTTTTTTTGTATGCGGTTCTCGCCTCAGCGCTGCGCACATTCGCCGTAAAGGCTTGCAAGAGCTTCATGGATGGAAGGGGCGGTTCCTTTTCAAACTGTGGCTTTCGCTGTGTCGACCTTCGCATTCGTCTTAAACGTTTGCAGGAGCTTCATTCATGGAGGGCGGGCCGTTTTCGAAACTTGGCTCTCGCCTTGTCGCCGCGCACAGGCGTCTTAAAGGGTTTCAAGAGTTCAAATGATTCTTATGGCTGACGTCCCGCATCTGGTGTGTTGGCACGACCACGACGGGGAATATCGCCCCCCCGCGCCGCCAGCGAAATTTAGCACCCGCACTCCGAGATGTCCCCCTTGGAGGCGCTGAAGTCCCAAGCACTGTCGACAAATACTGCGTAAAAGTAAGACCACGCATCACAGCTGGTCAGCGCAAAATGAATTATGCAGTCCACCCACACCCCACGCTCGAATTAGGAAAGACACCGTCGATTGCAACTGCTAGTCTGTACAGACCCACCCGTTCCACATCGACTCTGGTTCACCGGTGGCTTCGAGAAAATGCACCTGGAATGATCCCGCGAAGAGGCCGCTCCAGCTAGCGACGCCAGGTCTCGCAGCAACGCAAGGGCTGCTGCTAAACCGTCAGGCATTCAACTGCCAGGATATGTCCCGCGAAGGTGGCCGAAACTCGGGCCACCGACCCAGGGAAAAAGAGGCAACAGTCACGTTGATTCGGCGGTGTGCTCTGGCACGATTACGGATCGTCAGGATGCAGGCTTTATGGCAACATCGTTGATGGGCCTTGGGTTCAAACTGGTCCTCACCCTCCGCCTTCCCCTGCTTCTCCTCCTCCTGCTTCTCGTACTCCTTCTTCTCCTCCTCCTCCTCCTCGTGCTCCTCCCCCATTCCTTCTCATTATAAATAACTTCTCCCTGTCGCATTCCGAGGCCAGTTTTTAGGGCGGGCCGGGAAATTCGCCTGAGACTTCCTCTCCACTTATGGCTCTGAAGATTAAACATTGGCAGCAGTTGCATACATGAAGGGCGGGTCGTTTTCGAAATGTGGCTCTCGCCTTAGCGCCGCGCACATCAGTTATACATAACTGCAAGAGCTCGACGGCTTGAGGGCGGGTCGTTTTCAGAATGTGGCTCTCGCCTCAGCGCCGCGCACATTCATTCTTAAAAATTACAAGAGCTTCACGGATAAAGGGCGGGTCGTTTTCAAAGTGTGGCTCTCGCCTTGAGCGCGGAGCACATTCGTTTCACAAATGTGCGAGGGCTTCACGGCTTGAGGGCGGGTAGGTTTCAAAATGTGGCTCTCGCCTTAGCGCAGCGTGCATTCGTTTCTAAAAAAGCAAGACTTTCACGGATTGAGGGCGGGTGGTTTTCAAAATGGGGTTCTCGCCTTAGCGCGACGCACGTTGGCTTCAAACACTTGCAAGAGCTTCACGGATTGAGGGCGGGTCATTTTCAATATGTGGCTCTCGCCTGGGCGCGGCGCACATTCGTTTCAAACAGTTGCAGAAGCTTCACAGATTCCCGTTATCAACGTGCCAGAAGGGGTGTTTTGAAAGGATTCGCGGTTATGCGGGTGCAGCAGTTATGTTGATTCGCTGTGTTGAAGTCTCAGAAATTGCATTCTGGCAAGATTCAGGATTGTCAAGACGCAACAGTCAGGTTGATCCGTGGCGCTGGAATCCCGAGAAACATGTTTTGGCAGGCTTCAGGGTCTTCCAACGGCTGTCTTCCAACGAGGCAGCTCCTTCAATGGAAATGAACCGTTGTAGGGGCCTATGAAGAGGGAGCTTGGAGGGAGGGTTTATTCCAACCTCGTTGGTGACTCTTGGGTTTACCCTGGTCCTCCTCCTCCTCCCCCTCCTCCTCCTCCTCCTCCTCCTCCTCCTCCTCCTCCTCCTCCCCCTCGATCGTCCTAAATCCCCCTCGACCCTCCTTCACCCAGCGGGCTTGAAGCCCACAGGTTCCCTCCGGCCGGGACTCCCGGGCCCACCCGGACAGGCTGGCGCGTCGAGTCGGATCCCGGCGCGGCGCCTGGGCGCGGCCTGTCCGAGGAGAGGGAGATGGCGAGGAGGAACGAGAAGCTGATGGATGTTCGTGGCAATTCGACCCGCTGCAAAAATGTTTTTTGGGGGGAGCGTCGAATAGACAACCAAACCCGCTGGGCTGAGAGCACCGCTCCTGGCGCCCCTCCCAACGCTGGTCCCGTCCCTCCCAGCGGTGATGACCTGCGCGAGGCGCCCGATTTCGGGTGCCGCGCGAGCTTCTCCCGACCCTCTTCCGCCAAGATGTTCCAAGGTGCCTGCATGACGGCCCACCATGGCTCCAAGACGGTCCAAAATGGTCCAAAGACTGCCCAAGAGGGCAACACGGCCCAGGGCTCCAAGAGAGCCTCCCGCAAGACCTGAAGAGGCCATAATCATTGATTGTCCGAATGTGTCTGATGCATTTTTGCAGCATCACCTTGTCGGACTCCTGTGAGCTCAAGGCGGCCCAACAAGCCTTGAGAAGGCTTCAAAACGGCCCACAAGGGCATGACGGCCCAAGAGGGCTCCCAGATGGCCCAAGAGCGATCCAAGAGGACCCGACGTCGGCCCAAAGGGGCCCTCTATTCCCTCAAGATGGACTCCAAAAGCACCCAGACGGCCCAAGAGCGCCCTTAGACAGCCCAAGGAACACGACCATAGCCAAGAGGCCCCGAAGAGACTCCCAAGAGACACCCAACAAGGCCCCAGGGCCTTCAAGAGACCCGAGGTTTGTCACACGTGACGGCCATCCAAAACGGCCCCAAGACGGCCCAAGAGGGCCTCCCGTGGACCCAATACGGCCTTAGAAGGCCTTGCGACGGCCCACGACGGCCCCCAGAGACCCACCATACGGCCAACAACGGTCCCAATACGACCCGAGAGAGCCCCAAGACGGCGCAAGAGTGTTCCAAGACGGCCCAAGAGTGCCTCAAGGGCCCCCCAAGACTGCCTGGCCTCACAGGAAGCAAAGACAGCCTCAAGACGACCCAAACGAGCTCCATGAGACCTCCTCTACTCGTAAAGACGAATGCTGTCACATGTGACGCCTTCCTCTTGTTCCTCCTCCTCCTCCTGCTTATCCTTCTCCTCCTGCTGCTTATCAGTATCCCCCTCCTCATCCTACTCCTCCTCCTCATCATCATCACCATCATCATCAACACCACCACCACCACCATCACCACCACCACCACCATCACCACCACCACTATCATCATCATCATCATCATCATCATCATCATCATCATCATCATCATCAGCATCATCATCATCATCATCATCAGCATCATCGTCACCATCATCACCACTATCATCACCAGCACTATCAGCACCAGCACCTGCACCATCAACATCACCGTCCTCATCCTCGGCCTCGTTATCATCATGATCATTACCATCATCATCAGCAGCACCATCAGCATCATAAGCAACAGCAGCAGCATACACATCATCATCAATAGCATCACCACCATCATCATAAGCAGCATCATTATGATAATGATCATCATCATCAGCATCATCAGCATCATCACCATCATCATCATCGACAGCATCATCATCACCATCATGGTCATCATTGGCATCGTCAGCATCACCATCATCACCATCATCGCCACCACCATACACATCATCAGCATCATCATCCTCAGCTTCATCGACATATTCATCTTCATCATCACCTTCTCATCAACCTCACCATCATCATCGCGACCACCACCAACATACCCGTCACACTTATCCGCATCCTCAACCTCATCAGCATCACCATCATCAGCATCAGCATTAGCGTCAGGCTACTCACAAAAACTGAATGAGGATCCTCCTCAGCATCCTCATCGGCATCAACAACAACAGCATCAGCATTACCAGCATCAACAGCAGCAAGAACATCATCGTCATCGTCGTCATCAGCCTTGCCTCATCATCATGATTAGCAGCATCGTCATCATCATCAACAGCAGCATCATCATCGTCCCCATCATCGGAGGCACGAGGTGTTACACATGACGGCCTTCAGTGCTTCCCTCGGACAGTCGCCACCCATCATGCTAAGATAACGCGGTGGCAGGGCTTGCCGCAGGCAGCTGGATACTCGAAGTATTTCGACACCACCTTCAAGGAGCACGCCCCTCGTGCACTACGACGGCGTGAAGGATGATGCCCCACGCCAGTGGAAAATATCCAATACTTCGCCTGTTCGAGCAGGTGTTCAACGCATGTCGTCTACAGCGGCAACACGCTACTCCTCACGGGCGTTTTCGCTACGCCTGCGAGAACGATCCCCCCTGAAGTGGATTCTCCACCTGGAGCAGGTAAACAAACCGGGAGCTCATCATCGCGAGCAAATTCGGGCCTGCTCCCAGGAGGTCTCGATCTCCCCGGCCCACCGGTCAGGCACGCGCCAACATGGACTACGGATCCGTGGAACGTGTGCGTGGGCACCAGATCCACGGATCGGGGAGAGCAACCCCCGAAACATGAAGCCAATGCCGCCTCACCTGGTACGATCCGCACCGGGTGCGCACCGAGCCGTGTTTGCGTTTCCTCGATCCTCCTCGGATGTCCAGCGCTGGCCCTCAGCGTCCCCCTGCCAGCCCAGCGGCGCGGCGTGGCCCTGGTCCCCCCCCACAAGCGAGGCTCCATAAACGACCAGCGGGGACTCCGCCAGCATCCGTGGCCCACGGTCCTCGTGAGGAACCTCGGGGACCTTGTCCCAACGAGCCTGCGATGCAGGGGTGTCAGGCCTCGTCAGCTTATCACTCGGTTGACGCCCCCACAGTCCCAGATCTCCGCGAATGGAACACATGATTTTCTCCAAGTTGGATAATTATCGCTTCAGCGCCGCGCACAATCGTCGGACAAGTTTGCTGTCGCTTCACGGATGGAGGGCGGCTCCTTCACAACATAAGGCTCCCGTTTCATCGCCGCTCACATCCGCCCAAAAGCATGGTAACAGCTTCAAAGAAGGCGCTTGTTTGTAAAAATGCGGTTATCGCCTCATCGCCGCGCACCTGCGTCTCATACGTTTAAACACTTTCATGTCCAAGAGTTGGCGTCTGCTTGAGGGACACTTTTCACGAAACATAGTTACTAGCTGAACGGGTGGAGGGCGGTTCCACTTTCATCATGGGGCTATGTAGTGAGTCTTCCTCGACGTCCATGACCAGAAGTGTAAACTTGTGCAACAGTTGCACAGATGGTGGGTTTTCCTTTTTTCAGCACGGGGGCATCGCTGGACACCTCGTTGAACTGAATGTTCGTACCGTCTCGCAGTTCGTACGTGCTACAATTCCCTTTCCAAATGATACAGACAAGTGCAAGGCAATTGTGTTTCAAGACGGGGCTCGTGCCCGAGTCGCAGACTCGCGGGGTGCCATGTGTTGAGGGGCGCTAGCGTAGTGAGAAGGAAGGATTGTAGCGCTCCTGATGAGGGCAGTTGGGGCGGCAGGGCGTTTTACAGCATTGTTGTCATCCTGGAGTTCACTCTGCTTGCCGCGCTGCTGGACGTCGAGGGCCGCCCGCCTCTTCGCCAGGAGGTCGTCCGAGGCGCTCTCGTGGCGGGAAATCGTTCGGCCCCGGCGCGCAGGCGGCGCCCTTCATGCTCGTGCCGAGCGAGGCTGGCGGAAATGACCAGATCTGCGAAGTCCCCGACGGCGCCCGGCGCTTCAGCCCGAGGAGCGCAGGAACCAGAAAGACGAAAGTGTCGATCACAACCGCGAAGTCCCAGAGGCCTGTCTTCCCGGGACGCCCCAGCTCGCCTGGATACAGCAGCAGCGCGGCGGCCCCCCTGCCCTCGGCGCCCGCCGCGACGGGGGGGGGCGACCTGCATGGCCGTCGGCCGGTCGCACCCCGACGGCCTGAGGTAGCAGGCGAAGCTCAGTATCACGGCGAAGGCCTGCTCGATTTGGCCCCGGCGAAGCATCGCGCCCGCCAGTGCCGCCGCCAGCGACCGCGGTAGCGGCATGCGCATCCTGCGGGGGAAGCACCCCCCCCCCATCCTGCCAGGCCGCGGGAGGCCCGGCAGAGCGCCTGGTCGCCCCAGCGGCCGTTCTGCGGCAGGAAGAACTTCAGCGTTGCCAGCAGGCGTGAGGCGTCGACCCCGCTGTGGCCATGGTAATACAGGTAGTCGAAGTAGGTCACCACGATGAGTCCTGCTGGCCCCAGCTGCTCCAGCCCAGGTGGAGCTGCGCGCACCAGTCGGTAAAGGCGCCCGCCCTCCGCTGGTAGTCCTTCCGCGCGGCCTTGCTGACGGACCTCTGCTCGAGGTAGGCGGCGCCCATCGGGAGCTCCCCCTGCGAGGCCTCGCGCTGGAGAGCAGCTGCCGCCAGCGGGACTGCAGCCGCCAGGATCCCCGCGCCGGCAGCCAGGGGGGCGGGCTGGGGCAGAGGGGCGCGTCCTGTCGGCATCGGGGGTCGCGCTGAGCGGCCCCGCTTCCCCGCGGCAGCCTCGAGGATCACGGGGGCGATCGGCAAGAGCAGCAGCCACCTCGGCGCCAACGGTCTCGATGTAGCCGAGGCCACGCGACGGCGCGCCCGCGGGGTTGAGCGCCGGGGGCCCATCCCCGCGAAAACGTGAAGCCCGCAGGCCAAGGAGTAGGCGCAGATCTTCCAGAGGACGCTGCGCTGCTGCGGCGAGGGCCCGCGGCCCTTGCCGATGGCCAGGGCGAGCGACATTGTCGACCAGGCACGCGATCCTCTTCCCGAAGGCGCCCGCTGCCCTGAGCTGGCGGCGCAGCGCGGACGCGACGGCAAGCCCCTCGGCGCGGTAGACGTCGAAGGAGCCCCCCCGCGAGAACGAGCGCGCGATGGCCCAGCCGTCCTCGGTGAGAAGGTTCTGGCCGACCTCCCCGAAGGACATGCCCCAACTCTGGGTTTCGTCCGTCGGCAGGCGGCCAGGGTCGCGAAGTACAGCGCCAGGAGAGCCAGGCCCCAGGGCGTGGTCGCGCGCGCGCGCTGACTCCTCGAAGAGGCATCGCCACCTCTCCGCAGCGCGGCCGACCTCGGCCACCGCGTCGCGGTCGAGGCGGCGGCGGCAGACCCCGCAGCCCCAGCCCGAGGCATCGCTGGCCGTAACCTCGACGCGCCAGTCCGCGCTGGCGAAGACGACGAAAAGCGGCAGCAACGGGCGGACGTGCCAGAGCTCGCGGCGCACGGACGGCCAGAGAGGCATCGCCTCGTCCTTCGCCGCTGCGATGATGGCGCAGGCCGAGTCGAAGATGGCAAGGGAACGCCTCTTGAGGAGCAGGACACAGGCGCAGTGGACCACGACGATCTCCAGGATGGGCCCGCGAACCTTCGGGCGCCGGAGGAGCTCCTCGATGGCGAAGCGGAGCCGCCAGGCACGGCGCGCGGAGACCCGCGCGGAATGGCGGCGACCGTCGAGCTCAAGGCCCACGAAGCTAGTAGACCTGAGTAGCCTCCACCTGTTCGTGGGCGACAAAGCCGAGAGAGGAGGGCCCCTGCTCAACCTTGCAGCCCACGGCGTGAACTCTGGCACGCTGCGTGCCAGCGACGAGGTAGTTGCCCGCGTACGCGGCGCCCGCAGCTGGCAGCTTGGGTGCGAGAACCACCCCGCGGCTGCGGTCGCGGACCTGCTGCGCGGGGCCAATGCGGGCCCGGGCGAGCGCGGCCCTCGAGACGCCCCGGCAGAGATGCACAGCCCAAGACCAACCCATCGGCAGGATGGTGAACTCCGGGAGCAGCCAGTCGGACACGTGGATCGCGACGCCGTCGAGCTCAGAAATGCCAGCACGCCCAGCGCGCACAGGCGGCAGTCGTAGAGGTCCCCGGGGACCTGCGTGGCGTAAAAGGCGTTGGAGATGTCACCGCTGCTGAACCACGCGTCGCCGCCGCCCTGCGTCTCCACGCGAACGAACGCGCTGCCGCTGGGCAGCTCGGTGCAGGGAGGTGGCTGGAAGCGAGCGTTGCAGACGCGGGCGTCGGGGATGAGCCGCTGTTGGCCCGACTTCTTCGCGGCCGCGAAGACCCCGAGGAACCCGCGGCGGCCGCGAGCAGGAGAAGGGGCGTAACATGCCCCTGCCCAAGCGCTCGCTGACGAACTCCCCATGGGTGGCAGGGTGTCGTAATTCAGGAACAATGTAGGGTCGAGAGAGTCCGAGATCTCGACGAAGGGCCGCTGCTTCCTCAGGCGGGCGAAGCACGCGGGCCTCCCAGTCTTGCAGCCACAAACGGTCAGCCTCCAAAAGGGCGTCGTGAAGCGCCGCAGGCGCAGAGCCGCCAGAAGGCTAGGGCGCCAGATCCTTGCTGTAGGAGACCGCGTTGCCACGCCTTGCGGAGTAGAGCGGGCAGCTAGAGCAGACGTCGGAGAGCGAGCTGGAGCGGGACACGTCAGCTGGCGGGCCGCCGAGCTTGACATACTGCGCAGCGATGTAGTCGAGGGGCCGCCGCTGCAAAACTGCGGGGCGCGTCCGAGTCGGAGGTGCCCCGCCCCCGCTGAGCCAGTTGAGCGCCTCGATGCCGTCGTTGGCCGAGCCAGTGCACCGCCGCGACCACCCGCATCTGGGGGAGCTTCACGAGGTAGAAGTGGAAGAGGGAGAACGTTTATCGCTGACGACTGACGGCCATGGCGCGAGGACCACGCTGTCAGGAGCGAGAGGCCAGAAGTGAGCCCTCCAGAGTGGCCGAGGTCCTGGCGGCCGCTGCAAGCGCGATGTAGGGCGCAGGCTAGGACTTCCCAGCCTTGCCAGCGCCGCCGCCCTGTCCACCGCCGAGGCCTCCAGCAGGCGGGTGGAGCAGCTGCCGCTCCTCGCGCGCCTTGCGGCGCTCCTTGGCGATGGCCGATTCGGCAGCAAGCTGCTTGGAAATTCACTCAGACAGGGCAGGGCGGACCATGAGCCCCCTGTGAAGAAAAACTGCTTGTCGCCGCCGCTGCCGAGGGATCGCGAGCACACCAGCTTGTCCTTGTACCGCTCTTCGCAAAGCTGGAACTGTCGCGCGACGAGCTCCATGCATGCCAAGTTTGACCCGTCGGTTTGATCGTGCGACTGGGCCACCTGCATGATCTCCGAGAACTCGTGGTGCATCGAGACGATGGGATCATCCACAGGCACCGTTGACCCCAAGGCAGCCTTCCAGGCCACGTGGTGTCCCATCGGCGAGCCTCCGTTCTCCACCTGGTAGGTCGCGACCCAGTGGTAGGTTGAGGGGCCAGGCACTGGCCAGTCGGGGAAGCTCGTCGGCTGCATGAGGTGGACGCTGTCTCTGAACTCCCGATGACGCTGGCCTTGCATGTCGTAACCCGTGGCGAGCGTCCGGGGATCCCCAGGCCCAGGAGCGGTTCCGCCATCCGTCGGCGCGGGGACTGCAGCGGCGGCGCCGTCTCTCCCGGCGGCAGGGGCCGCAGCAACCAGGGCGGCCAGCCCAGCCAGCAGCACCAAGAGCGGGGGCACCAGCAGGAGGGCCGCCGCCAAAGCCACGCTCGTGCTCCGCCAGTTTCGCGGCTCCGAGGACGCAAGCCTGGGCCAGCTCGGCGACCGTCGGCACCGCGGCGAAGTCATATCGTCGCAGGCCAGCAGGAATGACGGCACCCAGCGGTGCTGCAGCAGGGCCCCACTCCTTCCACCAGTTGCAGATGTCCGCACTCCCAGGGTCGTACTCCTCGACGTACACATCAAAGTCGGGCGCGACCACGGCGTAGTGCTCGAGCCCGCGAGAGGAGAGCGCAACCACGATGCGTTTTTGCGCGAGCCGTGCTCCAGGTTCGTCGCACTCGACCCAGAGCTCATCGCCCACCGCGATCATGATAACCGGCCCGGCCCGCCGATCCGCTGCCCGCGCCGATCAGGCGAATCCACTCGCACAGGCTGCTGTGCGGTCGCGGGGAGGTCGCCCTCCAGGGCGGGCCGCCTGGCGCGGCTCCGGCAGAGGAGTCGGGCCGCCGCCACGGCGAGCGAGTCCCCAGCGCAGGAGGTCGGAGGCCAGCAGCAGCAGGCCGCACAGCGCCGCCTCCCACGCCAGGGAAGGCCGAGGCCCGCTGCCCGCCTCGCAAACGGGACACGGCGGGCAGGGCGAGGGGCAGGCTCGACTGGCCTCCCTCGCGTCCAGGGCGGCCGCCAGGCAATCAGCCAGCGGCCCCTGGATCCCAGCGGCCTCGCCCGGCGCCGGGAGCGGGCCCGCCTCCAGCGGCGGGAAGGGCGCAGCCGCCGCGGGCACGCCTGGGGCTGCGGGCTCGGCGGGCTGCAGCCACCAGCGCGCCAGGAGCAGCAGAATCGCGTTGCCTGCTAGCGGGAGGCGGACCCCGGAACCTGCGAAACGCATCCGGGCGGAGGCCTCTCCCTCCAGCAAAAGACTAGAGCCGACGCGGTCGCGGAAAGATGCGTGACCACGACGGCCTTCGGTTCCACCAGAGATGAGATGTGCAAGCACGGCCAGCATCACATCATCAGCAGCAGCATCATCATCATCGGCATCGACATAATCATCGCCGTCATAAGTGTCAACATCGTAGTCACCAGCATCATCGTCACCGCCATCGTCATCCTCGTCCCCATCGTCATCGTCGTCAACCGCATCATCACCGTCATCACCATCCACATCAACAATATCATCAGGATCATCAACACACTCAGCCGCCGTACCACCATCAGCGTCATCACAATCAGCATCACCATCGCCATCACCATCACCAGCACACATCACGGCCGCGGTCACCACCAACAGCATCGCCGCCACCATCGCCGTCACCACCATCATCCCTCATCACCGTCACCAGCATCGCCACCGTCATCGCCACCCATGCCCGCCGCGCCTCCCCGAGCAGCGCCCTCTGCTGCTCGGGCCCGTCCGCACCGCCGGGGGGGCGCTCGAGGGCCATCCGCGGCACGCCGAGCACTCCGAGGGCGGCCGAGGCACCCGGCAGGCCGCGCTGGCGCTGGGGGTTCGAGCCACAGGAGGAGAGGATGGGGGCGAAGGACCCAGACCTCCGACGAGATGCGATGCCATCCAAATGGATCCGGGGCGAAAAACTACCCCGTGGGAATGGGGTCGGGACCCCTGGGGCCGCGCATTGAAAAAACACCCCGTCGGATGTCTGGGGAAGAGGGCGAGGAGGGAAAGGGGAGGGGATCTCCTCCCCGTCCTCCTCCTCCTCCTCCTCCTCCTCCTCCTCCTCCTCCTCCTCCTCCTCCTCCTCCAACTCTTACTCCTCCTTCTTCTCCATTCTGACTCCTTATAAATAGCTCTCCGTGTTTAACCCCCCGGCAGGTCGAAAGGGCGAGCCCTCCCTTAGACTTCCGCACCATTTATGATCCTGAAGCTTAAAGATTGGCAACACCTTCACTGGTGGAGGGCGAGTCGTTTTGAAAATGTAGCTCTCGTTTGAGCGCCACGCGCATTCGTGTTCGAGGTTACACGGGTTGAAGGCGGGTGGTTTTCCCAACCCTCCTGCGTTGGGCACTCGTCTTGAATAGAACATTGCGGTCTCCACCTCCTTCCTCCCGCCTCTCTTCCCCTCTCATCCCTCCTACCTGCCTTCTACCCTGTCTCCTACCTCGCCATCCCTGGGGGGCTGCAATATGCGAACCGATCGCCACTTTCGAAGGTTGCTGGGGGGTCCAGCGAAGCGAAGCACCACTCAGACTCAAGCTAAACCTCGCCATCCCGGCGGGGGGGGCTGCGATCTGCGAAACGATCGCCACATTCGAGGTCTGCTGGGGGGTCCACCGCATTGGGGCACCACCCAGACTCATATTAGACCTCGCCATCCGTGGGGGGCTGCGACATGTGAAACTATCGCCACTTTCGAGGGTTGCTGAGTGGCCAGCGGAGTGATGCACCACCCAGACACAAATTAGCTAGACCTCGCCATCCCTGGGGGCCTGCGATCTGCGAAGCGATCGCCACTTTCGAGGGCTGGCGGGGGGACCAGCGGATTGAGACACCACCCAGACTCACACTTGACCGCGCCATCCCAGGGGGGGCTGCGAAATAGTCGTCACTTTCGAAGGCTACTCGGGGCTTCAGCAGAGCGAGGCGCCACTCAGACTCAGGCTAAATCTCGCCACCCCCGGGGGGCTGCGATCTGCGAAAGTATCGCCGCTTTCGAAGCTCGCTCGGGGGGGGGCCAGCGGAATGAGGCACCACCCAGACTCAGATTAGACCTCGCCATCCCCCGGAGGGGGGGGGGAGGGAGCAATCTGCGAAACTGCCGCCACTTTCGAGGCCTGCTGGGGGGCTGGTTCAGCGGAGTGATGCACCACCCAGACTCAGATTAGACCTCGCCATCCCTGGGGAGGGGGCTGCCATCTGCGAAGCTGTCGCCCTCGGGGCCCAGCGGAGTGAGGCGCCACCCAGATTCAGACTAGGCCTCGCCATCCCGGGGGGGGGGGGGCTGCGATCTACGAAACTGCCACCACTTTCGAAGGCGTCCAGCGGGGCGCTGTCGCCGGCCGCCCGCAGACCTGGCGGCGCGCCTTCGAGCGTTTAGCCCCCGCACGGAAAAGTACAGGACGGAAGCAGGGAAGCTGGCGGGCGAGCTGGGCCTCGATCGCTTCTTGCACTAAGAATAAGCAGGTTTTATCACTGTGCCGAGCGCCACAGCGACATGGCGCAGGCAGCCCTTCATATTTATCGCACGACCGGCAAAAGCAAAACCATTCGGTCTCTTCCCATCAGTTTCGTCGTCTTCCTTTGTCCCCTGTCGCATTCCCTCTGCTGCTGCCGCGCTGACGGGTCGGCCACCTGCGCGTCCTTTTCCTGTCCTTCGTTCCCGCCCCCATGTCCTGCTCAACTCTGAGCCCTCGCTCATCGTCCTTCTGTTGTTGTGCCGTGAACCGTGGCAACTGAGCGCACTCCGTGCAACTTGCACAATATATAACTGCGTTTGCACGATCATTGTCCTAGCAAGCTTGGGCCCACTCCTCGAGCCACTTGATGCGAATAGGTTGGGTACGTCACAGGGTAATCAAAATGTGGTTCTCGCCTGAGCGTCACGCGCATTCGTGCTAAGCATTAACAAAAGCTTCACGGATCGAAGGCGGGTGGTTCTCAAAGTGTGGCGCTCGCCTTAGCGCCGCGCACATTCGTATTCTACAACAACAAACTTGCATGAGCTTGGTGGATTGAGGGTGGCTCCTGTTCAAAATGTAGCTCTCGCCGTAGCGCCGCGCAAATTATTTTCAACGTATTCCCATCGTTTAAATATCAGAAGCCGTGTTTTGAAGCGATTCAGGATTGTCAGGACACAACAATCACGTTGATTCGCGATGTTCGGGAATGGTGGTCTGGCATGATTCAAGATCGTCAAAACGCAACAGTCAGGTAGACTCGTGGCGTTGAAGATCCGAGAATTGTGTTTTGGCACGCTTCAGGATCTTCAAACGGTTATCTCCAAGCGGGGCACTGCCATCAGTGAAAATGAACCCTTGCAGGGGCCTGTGAAGAGGGAGCTTGGAGGGAGGGGTTGTGCCAACGTCGTTGAGGAGTCTTCAGTTTGGACTGGCCTTCCACCCCCTGGAAAACGCTCTGAATCCGAAGACCGCTCTTCAGACGGAGAGATAGTGCGCACGCGCCGCAGAGGGTAAGACGATGCCTAAAGAGAACAAGCAGCAGACCGGTTCCTCATCCTCCTCCTCTCCCTCCTCCTCCTCCTGCTCCTCCTCATCTCCTCCTCCTCGTCCTCCCTGGGGAGCTTGGAAGTGGGGGAGAGGTGAGGAGAGATGGCAAGCTGGGCGCGCTCGCGCCACATCTGGCACCCTGCCCCATACCACCCTTCCCTACCCCTACGCAGCGCTGCTTATCCTCGATCCACCCGGTGAGTGTCATACCTGAACTGGAAGACCCCAAAGGAACCCGATCGTGTCATGCGCAATCAAAAAGAGGAGCTGTATACACTGGAGGAGCGCGTTTCTTTATGTTCGGCGATGACGGGCGTCATGGGGGGGGGGGGGGGCGGGGGGGGGGGGGGGGGGGGGCCGAGGGGGGGTATGACGTGACGCCCCCCCCCGCCGAGTGGTTCCGGCACCACAGCCGCGCCCGCGCGCGCGACGCGACGAGCGACGAGCGACGAGCGACGACGACGACGCGAGCAGCATGTAAGTGGCGATCTGCCCATTGCGGCGATGTACACCACAACGCTCGCGTGCACCACACCGCGCGTGTGCACCACAGCGCCTGCGTACACCGCAACAGCCGTGTGCAACGCACCGCCCTTGTATACCACAATACTTGGGAGCACTACAGCGCCGGTGTGCATACACCGCAACAGCCATGTGCAGCACAACGCCTGTGTACACCACAGTGCTTGCGTGCACCGCAGCGCCTGTGCACGCCACTTCGCCTGTCTACACCACAGCATCCGTGTGCAACGCAGCGCTGGTGTACACCACAGCGCCTGCGTGCACAGGACAAGTAAAAGGAGCATGTACGTCAGGATCTGCTGCGGACAACTAAACGCCACGCCAAGAAAGTTCTGATAATCGAATGCGACGTTTTTCCCTCCTCCCTCCTCCTCCACCTCTTCCTCCTCCTCCTCCTCCTCCTCCTCCTCCTCCTTTTCCTTTTCCTCCTTCTTCTTACCCCCTGTCGTGCGGCTTGGCGTTACAACGCACGTGCGCATCTCAGCGTGCACCGCAAAATGGTCGATTGAGTCGGTCCACTTGGTTCTCGGACGGCCAGTTTATCTGGGGCCTCCTGGACGCAACTGGGAGTGAGGGTGATGCGGGCGGACTCGGGGGGACTCGTAGATTCCAGCGGCGCTCCTTTATCCATGAAGATTTGTTTTCCACTTTTTTCTCTGCAATCCACACGCGCTCCATTTTGTCAGAAGGATCCGTTCTGAAATCCTATGCACAACAATGGTGTTGTGTTGCACACGGCTGATGTGGTGCACACAGGCGCCGTGGCGTACACAGGCACTGCAATGCACGCAGGCATTGTGGTGTACACTGGTGCTGTGTTGCGCACGGCTGATGTGGGGTACGGAATCGCTGTGGTGTACGCAGGAGCTTCTGTGCCCGCAGGCACGGTGGCACAAACTGACGCTGTGTTGCACGAGGCTGCTGTGGTGTACATCGGCGGTGTGGTGTACACACGCGCAGCGGTGCACGCGGGCACTGTGATGTACACAGGCGTTGTGGTGCATATCGCAACCTACATGTTCGTGCTACCCGTCCTCCGTCATTCCTAAGCATTCCCAGACGCCGCCGGCGCGAAACGTGACGTCATCGACCCCCTCCCCCCCCAGATGATTGCCGTCATCGGCCCGGACTAAAAAACAGGCTCCAACCGCGTCCGCGCGCACGACGACGATGAGCGACGAGCGACGAACCACGAGCGACGACGACGACGGACGACGACGACGACGACGACGACGACGACGACGACGACGACGACGACGAGACGACGACGACGACGACGACGACGACGACGACGCCTGCGGACCAGACACCTAGGCGGATTTCTACGCGGACACCTACGCGGATCCCAATGCGCACGGCGGCAGTGCCCGGAGCGCACTGGGAAGGGGACCGTTACGTCATAGGGGGGGGTGGGCGGGGACCATGACGCCCGTCATGCCCCAAGCAATAAAGAAACGGGCTCGAGGAGGGGGTGGCGGATTAGCAGGAGAATGGGCGGGAGGAAGAGGAGGAGGGTGGGAAGGAGGCGGAGGAGGAAGAGGAGGAACAGCAGCAGTAAGTAACAGCAGGAGTACGATGAGCGGAAGGAGCAGGAGGACTCCGTGAATGCAGGGGAGGGGAATTGAGGGAGGCGACGACGACAAGGAAGTACTCGGATCAAGTTTTGTGGACCTCGCTCAAGCGTAAGCGCTGCTCTGAATACGTGAACGAAGCGCCGATCCAGAAATGAGGCCAACGC